CGTATGCATGCATACATGTTTTCTGTAAAAAGGTTTCGAGGGTGAATATTTTCCACAACCGGAGAAGACTTTAAAGGAGACAAAGTCGTGTGCTCGAGAATACAAGAGCATTCTAACATCAAAAAGCACTGAAGATACATTGGTACATATATCGAAAACTCATAATGATTGATGTTCTCAATTGTATATATATTGATGTACTAATTTATTAATTAACGATCGGAATTTTTTTATTTTTGCAGGCGAATCTTGCGAGATGGGAACCGGGACATGGCCGTTTCGAGTTACGTCATCCGTGGAAACAGTATTTAAAGATCGCAGGGCTTGTTCGCCAATGCGCCTTCCATTTCGAAATCCTCAGTGGCTATGTTCTCTCTGACGTTAAGGTTCGTCGTCGGGAATCAAATGAATTTAGTTTGTTATAGTAAAACCATTAGTTACTTTTAAACTGAATTGCGTAAATGAAAAACAAAAAAAACTGAAAACCGAATTGGAAAGTGAACCAAATTGTTTTATTTATCATTAGTAATTGGATCGAATAAGTACAAGATTACTTGTTCTTTTTTGAGTCTAGGGGTAAAAACAAGTAGAAGATTGCTATTTTGAAAAAACTTAACATGGGTAGAAGATTACTTGTTAAATATATCTTTTCTTCTTTTTTTTTGGGCTAAAAATATATCTTTTCAGTTAAACGCAAATATGAATAATTTTGTTGTCCTGTGATATATTTGTAACCATTCGAACTTTTTGTATTAACATATTTACTATTTAACTCCATAACAAATTGCTTAAAAATTGTAAAATTGTGTAAAGTTGGGAAACGTGTGTATATTTGTTACGTCGTATGCCGTTATTGATTTATTCTCATGTCATCGCCCTCTACGGCTCTACCACAACATACACATGCATAAATAATGTTGTATAATAAGTAGGTCCTTATTATAACCGTCAAAAATTGCGTATGAAATGTTGACGCCGTTAAACAAAATTTAAGGCCGTAAATGAGCAAAACTGCCTTTAGCTAATAATACGCATATTTGCAAAGGAATAACTAATGGTTCGACGAGACAACATATTGATAAACTGCATGTTTTTTTACTTGTGACACAAGCAGGCACCGCATGACTTCATAAGCAAGATTCAAGAGCCATGCTCGGTTATGAGCAGAGAAGCTGGTGAAGCCCTAAAAGCCATAGCCAAATCTATCAAAAAAATGAACAAAGACAGTGTTTGTGTGAATGCACACATTGAAAACTCCAAAAAAGCCATAGAAAACCTAAGGGTTGCACTCAAATCGTATTCTCCAGAGACAGAGAAAGATATCTTGGAGATAATTCCTGGAGTCACAATGGCATCAATCTTGATCGAGATTGTTAATTGCGTCGAGAAGATCTCTGAAGCTGTGAAAGAATTCTCCGTTTTGGCACACTTTAAAGAGACTTTGGATCCAAAATTATCCCCGGAATTAAGACAAGATCTACATCAGCATCATCTACTTCACAGGGGAAGTGTAAAGCCGGTTTTAGAGGGTGACAACGAGAAAGAAGACAGTAGTTCACCTCATGTTCTTATCACTGTCCATGAGGAACAGCCACCAACAACCAACGAGAAGAAAGTTTTGGGAGCAGAGAAGACGAGAGTATATGTCGTGTAACGGTGTAAGTATGCTCATTGTCAAAAGTTTAAGAACTCTATGAAGGAAGCTTGTTTTCACTTTTAAAAGCATAATCAATGGTAGTTTGTTAATTTGGAGTTTTAAGTGATTTTTTTTATTATAAATTGTTTTTAGGGTTCTAAATCTCTAAAATTTGGGATTCTAAATCTCTAAAATTAGAACTTTTTTATTGGGGTTCTAAGCATTTTGTATATTATTTAATTATATTTAATTTTTTAGAAACCCATTAAAAACTACTAAACACTACCATTGATCATGCTTATCTAGTATATAAAAAATACTATTCATTGTCAATTAATTTTAAAAATCATTTGGAAATTTTGGTATGGTAATATACAAGCTCATGTTGACACAAAATAGTTAAGTGTATCCAATTCGATATGGATAAGCCGAAAACTAATTGGTTTTGAGATTAAAACTTATAACGTTTTAAGATGCAGGTGCCCTGCTTATCTATTTGGATATGTTTGATTCCAGCGGTATAGTCTAATTGGGGAGACAGAAAGTATGAAAACCAATTTATGCTTTATCTCATCACCAAACAATTTGCGTTGGATTATGTAGATACACATATTTATAATTAGCATATAGTCCATGTTTTCTTTGCTACC